CTACATAAGAAGCAATGGCAAGGTTTATGATCACTGTTACAGAGCCCATGCAAACAGAATTCTAGATGTTCAATTTGGAATTTTACATACATTATATAAGAATAAACTAAAAAAAAAAAAAAAAAAAAAGGATTACTTTTTCTGAATAACATTACCGTTATCCATTAATTCATTGTTACAAGATATTGCAAATAAATCTCTATGTTGTCTGGTTATGGACAGGTAACTACAGCAGTGCTCTGAATGTGAAAGGTCAAAAACAAAGCAACTATATTTTCCTTCCATGCATAAAGTTATAAGAAGAGCTATGATCTAATTTATTCTTTCTTCCAGTCTTTACCTGAAATCAAGAACATTCAAAATTATACTATGACCTAGTTATACGATGGACTAATGTGACAATAATAACAGAAATCCCTAAGAAAATAATTTCAACCTCAGATGACAAAAATCAAGAGAAACCATGAACAACCTATTACCCAGAAGCAGCAGTTTAATAGCATACTTCATTTCAGCCTGTAGCCTAAAAGATACAGACTCTAAAGGAAATAACTAGACTTTCAGAAGTTTCTATATAATTGCACAGTTCAGGTCTTCTCATTAGCCAAGCTACTCTTCTTCAGATTTACATCTCTGACTGTAACAAAATCTTTGTTGCACGGTGCACTTAGGATTTTCACCCTTCAAATTAATTTCTTTTTCCCACTGGAAACTAATTCAGTAGCACCCCCGAGTTTTAGGCTTCCATTTGCTGCTGGGAGAGCAGCCTTTTCTGGACATTACAGCCCAGCATAACACTAAGTATGTGCCTGATGTTAAACCTGTGCTGAACTTTCCTCAAGGTAAATGGAATGCAAATGAATGTTTCGTTGTTTTGTTTAATATGGATGATCTCATGCACCTTTGAACTGTTCTGCTGCCAGCTGCCACTTACCACTAACAGAGAAGTAAATTTTATAGGATATGCACTGGATCATTTTAAACTAATCTCCACAAAAAGAAAATAGTTCATTTGGAGTAAAAAAAAAAGTGTCTGACAATGCCACCTCTGTAAGTTGCTTTGATGGGTGTAAGAAAGTGGGAGAAAAGCCCAAGGTACTCTAGCTGGTGGTGTAGCCACACAGCTTATACTTTATTTCCATAACCATTTATAAAAACACAGCAAAATGAACAGTTCTGAGCAGCTTGTGCTCCTGTCATAATGTACAACCTCTCAGTACCTCATGTACAATAATACCTCCATGAAAATCAAGCTGTATTGCTTCTGCTTCTTTGTACAACACTTTGCATGACTAAGAGCAGCAAGTGACAAGGTTCTCCAGTTAACTGAGATTGATTATTGTTGCTTCAGCACATCCATAATCATGATGCATGCAGCATGGAGAGATGGAATTATTTTCAAACACTGCCCTGATTGGTAGAAAAAGCCTTCTTTTCTAACAGAACTGAAAATGCATAGGATGCATGCAATATGCTCTAGAGGAATGGGTACTGCCGTAGCGGCCAAAAGGTCTCATGCCACGCATGCCTCTGAGCAAGATGAGTCATGCATGCTGACTGCATTTGGCATTCTTCAGTCACTGTGGTCAGCACTACAAAGAACATAAATTTACCAGTTGTTACCACTCTGCAGTATCTGTGATATTACTGTTTTACTATGAACAATAGTGAGAATCTGAAAGGACAAGCAATGAGTGTGGTACATGGTGAAAAGTACAGCAATTGTAGGTCTGGATTTTATTTCAGTAACATTGGTTTTACAGCTGGTTAACTGTACTGACTTCAAAAGAATTGCTGCAGATTGTTACTAATGAAGTGACTAGAGAGTGTGAACATCTCTATCTGCTCACAGCAACAGGAAACTGAAGATTCTTTAGCAGAAAAATGGGTTAGCACATTTTTTTCCTTTTCTTTTTCAGCATATATTTTTTAAAGCCATTTCTAAAAATCTCAGAGGACTTAACATTTTAAGGAAGTCATTGTTATGCCATGAAATTCTGGAAGTTATAAAAATATCTAAGACATTGGCACTTCACATTTGGCAACTTCACTGTTTAGTGAATAGCAGAAGTATTCTGAAGTTCAGGTGACTTTTCAAAATCAGAATAATCACATCTTTTGGGAGGATGTGATTCCTGGGAAACAAGGAAGAATTTGCCCTTTTCAACAGACATATCAATATGTTCAAAATTCTTCCTTACTGAGCTAGACAACAACAAAAGTTAGTGCTAAAGTAAATCTCATTTGATCAAATGGATTAAACAGTAGTTTGAGATTGCAGAAATGGACAGTGCACTGCAAACTCCTTAATGATTAAGCAGTGATTTATTAAATATTTTTAAGGTGAAATATAGTTACAAATAGCTCAGTAATAGAAAAAGCAGAAATTTATCTATGCCATAATGAATTTTCTGTATTAGGATTAACACACCAAACTGCAGATAGTTAAATAAGCATTTAAATTACTAATTTTCTCATTATTTCATGCTTCTTGAGATAC